CTAGGCTGCAGATGCAGAAGGGGTGACAGCCAGCTGCTGTGCACTGGACTGAGTGAACAGACTCCTAAAGTGGAATGGCTGAAAAAGGTATGCAAAGCACACATTTGACGCTAGTTTGTCTGCCTTCTGAGCAGTTGACAGACAGAGGCAGGGGTGTGGCTTGATAAGAGGAGGCAACAGGCCCAGAGTTGAGTTGCCAGGGCCAAGAATCTCAGAAATTCCTCACAGGTCTCAGGAGAGAGTAACTGTACTGGCATTTGCCTTCTATTTCCATGATGTTTGTTGCCGGGAAGCCCTTTGTCATCTTGAAGGATGTATGTGTTTACGGCACTTTAATTCTTTGGAGGATGAAATAGATAAGTGCATCATAAGTAGATAAGTGAGTGTGGCTATCTATGGGTTGGAATAACCCTACTGGAAGGCTTTGAGTCCTCAGTCATAGGACCAGGGGGTGTATGATCAGAGGTCAGGCTGAGCCCAGACAGCTCTGGTGCCCTGACTGATAGAGCCTGCTAGTTGTCCTCTTATACCTGTTTCCCATCTTCTAGAGATAAGACTTCCGGCTTTTGGCTGGGTAAAATGGCTCCCAGAAAAGAGACATTTTCCAATTTCCCTTAGAGCTATGAGTAGTCCATGTGACTATGTGGGATGAAAAATTACCTTCCTTACCCTTCTTTGTCTTTCCTTCTATTTGATGGGAGATATAGATGCACTTGGGTAGCTCAGAAAAAGGTTATAGTCTGGGGGTAGGGGGAGTAGTGGGATGAAAGAAACTTGAGGTCTTCAGGGTTGAACACAAACCTCTTCACTTCACTTTTGGAAGATAGAAATTTCTTCTCTCTTAAGCCATTGCTATTTTGGCATTTCTGCCACTCATTGTTAATCCTAATGTTCACTGCAATGGAGTATTACTGCAAACTTATTCTGGCAAGTTCCCTTCTCGACACGAGGGCTATCTTATGGAGTGTACACATAGGTTCAGTAGCCTGTGGGTTTTTTTTTTAATTTTTTTTTTAACACATTATAACACAGCAGAAAGCCCTTTACAGAATACTCATCCGTTGGCACTTCAAAATATCATACAGCAATATAGGTATAGCTCGGGGGTAGAGTGCTTGCCTAGCATGCACATGGCCCTGGTTGGCCCCAGCACTGCAGTAGCAACAATAATGATGTCTCATAGGAGGAGGCTCTAACAAAGGGGGTCAGAAGTCAGGGCAAAAGATTGGCCACATACAAGGTACATTAAAAGATAATGCTCTTCAGGTCCCATACTCTATGTAGGAACCAATGCTTAGGAAGAGTTGGGCTGAATTAGAGGTGATGGTAAAGTGAATCAGGTAGCTGGTGCAAAGAATAACAAGTGAAAGGAAGGGGTAGACAATGTATTAAAAAGTGAATTGTTGGGCCTGGGGTTGTAGCTTAGTCGTAGAGCGCTTGCCTAGCATGTGGTGAGGCACTGGGTTCAATTCTCAGCACCACATATAAATAAATAAATAAATAAAACAAAGATCCATTGCCAACTAAAAAGTATTCTTTTAAAATGTGAATTGTTAAAAGTTAATTAAGTTAGAGCTTTTAAAAATGTAGGTAAACTATTGTCAGGTGAAAGAGATAGTATTATGTCACTTTGACTCTTATTTTGAATAATACAATGCAGTTGAATATCCAACAGCATTTGGAATATACTGCTCCATATGTTAGCTATTAATATTGTTATTATATTATAATAAAATAATTAAGCCTATTAATAATTTGTCTGATTATTGACTAAATAAGGTGTGTTCTTTCTATTTATTTCATGATGCTTTTGTTTCTGATAAATTTTAGGTTGACTACATTAAACATGAATAATAAAAACATACTAGCTATTTTAAGAAAGGCCCCAGTAGCACTTCCCTCCTCTGCACAAACTACTGCAACACAGATGAACCTTGAAGATGGTATGTGAAATAAACCATTCACAAAAAGGACAAATGTAGGATTCCACCTATGTGAGAGAAGTACCTAAAGTTGTCAAATTCATAGTGACAGAACGTAAAGAGGAAATGGGGAGTTTTATTATGGAGTTTGGGAAAACGAAAAAGTTCTGGAGTGAAGTAGAGTACTTGCTTAATATGCACAAAGCCAGATCTTGGGTTTGACTCCCAGAATTGGGGGTCAGGGAGGTGGAACAAAGTGAGCAAGGGGGAGAGTTTTTAGTCTGTTTGGGCTACTATAACAAAATACCATAAACTGGGTAGCTTATAAACAACAAAAATTAATTTCTCACATCTCTGGAGCCTGGAAAATTTCCAGATCAAGGCAGATTCGGTGGAGGATAAGCACCTGCTTTCTGGCTCATAGACTGCACCTTCTTCTTGTGTCCTGACATGGTGGAAAGGGTGAGAGGTTATCTGTCAGGCCTCTTTTATAAGGGCACTAACCCTGTTCATGACGGCATCAGTTTCATGATCTGAGCATTTTCCACAGGCCTCACCTTCTAATACCATCACCTTGGGAGTTAGGATTTTAACATATGAATTTGGCAATGGATACAAGCATTTAGACCATAGCAGAGTAAGAGCAGTTGACTTCTACTCTGTGGGTAAGTGAGAAGGGTGAATGGTGGGTGTTATGGGCTATGTAAAGAGAGCCGTTGTTACCTGAGAGAGTTGAAGACCCATTTGGTGGGTTTTGAACAGAACAGAGACATATCTGATACTTTTGAAAAAGATCACTCTGGTTTCTGCATGGAAAATAAGGTGCATGGTGGCAAGTTAGCAGTTTATCCAAGTGAGGCATAAAGAGGGACCTGGAGCAGGGTGAGGGGTAGGCAGAGTGGTGAGGAGTGGTAGAATTCTGGGTATATTTTGAAATTGGAACCAAGAGGGTTTCCTGAACAATTGTGAGTTTAAGAACAATACATGAAACAACATTTACTTGTATTCCCAGAGACTGAACATGATGTGCAGTTTAAGCTCCCATTTTACTACTGTTCATCAAAGTAACCTGGCAGATTAATCTCTACATCCATTCTCCTGTAAAACCCATGGATCATCACCAAGATACCTGACCTTGTGGCCAAGGGGTTCCTCTCTACAATACGGCCCCACCATCCCCCCACCACACTTCTTCCCAACAAATGAGTTCTCTCCGAACCAAGAGTTGCTGACTTCCAAAACTCTATATCCTAATTTTACTTTTTACAATTAAAGATGTTAATTAAATATAAAATAATGGAACATGAGTTTAAAAGCAAAGAACTGAAGGTTTGGGTAAGGGTTAACTAAGGTGGAACTTAACAAATTACCTTATGAGTCAACTGTAAAAATAGAGGGAAAAATTACAAAAATACAGAATGAATATGTCCTCAGATTGCTTTGCAAATATTTTTAAGTTCTTCTTGTAAACAAATTAAAATTAGAAATCCTGCTTACCTGGGTGTGGTTTATGCAAGAGAAACAATGACCTATCAGCAGACACAGGCTCAAGAAAGGGCTGTGGTTTTCCGTCAAAGATTGACAATGAACATATAGTTGTCCCTCAGTATCAGAAGGGGATTCATTCCAGAAACCCCTATGGATGCCCAAATTCACAGAAGCTCAAATCCCATATATAAAACGATGTAGTGTTTGCGAATAATCTATGCATAGCCTAGCATATACTTAATATTTCATATATTTAATATTTTCCTAAATTAAATATAAATACAAATTACTTATAATACCTAAATTCAATATAAGTGATATTTAAATAATTGTTATGCTGTATTGTGTAGGGAATGTTGGCAAGAATACCGGACATACTCAGTACAGATTAAAAATATTTTTTGAATATTGTCTAGAGAACTATGACAAGATTACTGGACATATTCAGTACATAATTTTTTCAAATATTTTCCATCTAAGATTGAGTGAATCTTAGACACAGAAGCCACAAATATGGAAGGCTGATTGCATATAGTAGGTTCTTACAGAATATATTGATTTCCTTTTCTGGTATTGATTCTCTTTTCTCTTCAGCTCTTTTTCCCTTCCAATTCATTGAGGAACTGTCTGGATCTCACTGAAGATGGCTATTCTGCTGTGTGTTCCTGATTATTTACATGCTCTGTCAGTGATGTTGGAGTCAGCATATGCTGACACGTCACCATTTTCTGTTTCCATGCCGATTGCATTTGGGAGTGAGGGTTTTTATTTCTATTGAGTTTTGTGAAGAATCAACTGACTTTGACTTCAAATTAACCTAGACTGTCAGTGACAAGATAAAACTTGACAGCCCACAACCATAGGGCACAATGTCAACTTCTAAAAACCAATCATTAAATAAATCATTTAATCTTTTATATGAAAAAAAGGTGTTTTACTAAGGAAATGTAATTTCATTTATGTCAAAGGGATACCTGCACTCCCATGTTCACAATGTTTATGATATGGAATCAATTCCTGCACTGGACGGACAGATAAAGAAAATGTGGTGCTTATATACACAATGGAATACTATTTGGCCTTTAAAAAGAAGGAAATACTATCATTTGCAACAGCGGGGATGAACTTGAAAGATAGTATAAAGAAAAATAAGCCAGACACACACACACACACACACACACACACACACACACACACACAAGCCCAATAATCTCACTTATACATGGAATTAAAAAGGCAACTCATAGAAGCAGATAGTAGGATGGTGGTTACAGGGTTAAGAATAGTTGGGGTGGGTCATTGGTCAAAAGATAAAAAATTTCAAAGAGATAGTTAATAAAAATGAATTGTATATTTGAAAATTGCTAATGGAGGATATTTTAAGTGTTCTCAACATACACACAAAAATAATGACAATGCAAATATTAATAGTTTGATGTAGACATTTCAAGATGTACGCATATTCCAAAGCATTATTTTGTACAATATTAAACATATGCAACTATTAGTGTCAATTTTTTTTTTTTTTTAATTTAAGGACAGAAGAAAAAAAAACCAACAACTTTGGAGGAACATCCTTTGGCCCCCAGAGGGCGCACAGTGAACAGCGCCAATTGATTGATTGATTCCCTTTGGTAGGCACTACAGGGTTGACAGGGCAGCTAACAAAGACAAAAACAAAAACCTAATAACCACGGTTCATGTTCACATCAGAGAATAATCAATATGGGAACTGGTACACACAAAGCTACCTCTTGTGTAGTAAATATACAAAAGTCGTAGAAATCTCTACTCCATTCCGTATGCAGAAATGTCTCTCTTGGGTCTCTGTGTATCTATGGTCCTTGCCCTTCTCTCTCAATGGCACTTCCTTCCTCTGCATCCTGCCACCTTGCATCTCTCCCACTCACTGTGAGGATTTCTATCTAATTCCTTTTCTCTAATTACCTCACTGTCTCTGAGCAGGTGGGAGGGGAATCCACAGTGCTCCCAGACTTTCCTTCTCAGGAGAAACAATACTATTGAAAGTACATGGATTTTGCTACATTTTATGGAAATTTACAGTTCTGAATGTTCCACACAGGCAGATTTTTCCCTTCAGGACAGGAAACAGAACCCATGCAAACCCCTCCTGTATTCTCCCTAATATTTCAGTGACCGTTCTTCTATAACTTAGAGGTTTAGAGTAGTTCTGCGAATTGAATAGGATTTTTCCTCTTTCTTCAATATTTTATTGAATAAGTTTCAAGCAACATTAACACCATATTCACTGTAAGAATATCATACATCAATTTATTGCATGAATGTCATTAATTTACTGAAATGAACATTATGAACACATAATGGAAAAATATTCCTCAAAAGAGGAAGGTGAATGTTAGCCAACAATAGGACAAAACTATCTTCAAAAGATAGAAATAACAGTTGCAGTTTGGCTTATATGTACTTTGAGGCCAGAGACCTCTATGCCTGTGTCTCCAGAGGAGCTAGGTTTTGGACGAGGCGGCTCAGGAATGTCTCCAGCCGCTTCCTGGATCTGTAAGCAATGAGTCCTCCCTTGTTGGCCCAGCGATCCACCCCAGTGGCACCTTCATTTTCCAGGTGGTACAGCAGCTGGGGCAAATCCAGCCCAGAGTCTGGATGCCTTTCTAAGCATTCTTTCATGTCCACTATTCCCCCGCCCATGGCCCTCAGGATGGCATGAGCAGCACAAGAGTCCCACTTGAATGTGGTGTCTTCTGAAAAGATGTAAATGTCAACGAGGCCTTGGACAACACAGAGGCTCTTGTAACCAGCCCCTGCTGCCGGGAAGATCCTCTCTCCGCACACGCGGGCTAATGCGGCCTTGATGGTCTCCTTCTCACTAGTGCTGATGACTGCTGAAAAAGCCGAGGAGGACTCTGACTCAGGATTGGAGTTCTCAGTTCGCTTTTCACTGCCATTTCTTTTAGAGATGGCCCGCTCAAGTGAATGGATGTTGGTCCCCATGTAAGAAAGGCCCCAGTAGCACTGTCCTTTCCAACTATGGAAGAAAAAGTTCAGGTTGATAAAGGTGATTTGCACATTTGTTTTTCATGATTCATATTGCCTTTTATTGTTTTAAGAAAATGAAAACAAACAAAAACCCAGTTCATCCTAGCATCATGAGTTTTACCTCCCCTAAGCTTAGAAATAGATCTTAAGTAGCCAATTCATTTTTAAAAGTTACTCTTATGCATGCATCTGCCTGCTGTTGTTGTAGAATTAGGAATGTTTTCACTTTTATGGCTTTATCACATCCATCTAGGACAACACCAAATTATTTGTTTGAATTCCACCCTCCAGAAACTCTGCAAACTTTTATGGCCACTTTTGGCATTTAAAGTTCAGTAGGGGAAAAGATGAACAGGTAAATCAATCTTCAAATCTCTTACAATCTTTATAACAAGCTTTTGGTCTTTTGGTTACTCCTTTTTATTTTTTGATTTATCAGCTCCACGTTGGCTTCTAACACCAGAAAGATGGGGCTCAAAATGTTACTATTTGGGTCAACAACAACAAGGACAGTACCTTCCATTCATTCGTTCTTAACATATATTCTATGTTGAAAAATTCACTGTTTACAGACTAGGAAATAGAGGCTTGGGAAAATAAATAACTTGCTGTGGCCCACCCAGATTGTAAGTGGTACAATCTGCTTTCAAACCCAGGTGGTCTCACTCCAGAATCTGCAACACAAAGTACTTTGTTGACTACCTCCATTTCTAGGCCATGAGTATGTCTCATTCTGCCCCAATTCTTTTTAATTTCCTAATGACCTTTTAAAGATGACACAAACATACTTTGGGTTTGGAAGAAAGTGAAGGGAAAGTCAAAATATCAAAATTCCAGAGTTGTAAAGAGCAAACTATTCTTATCTGAAGTGACTCAAAATTCAATAAAAATAGGTAGTCCTATATAAACAAAAAATATGATCTATTTCAATTAAAAAAGAAGAAAAAATTTTTAAAAAGCCTTAAACTGCTTGTATTTGAACTCTGCCTGCCCTGGAGTCAACCCAAAGCACAGGCCATGAGTCAGAGGCAACTCATGTGCTGGCCACCCTCTATGCTCTGCTGGGGAGTCAATGGAAACGGCAGAGAGAGAAGAGGCAGAAAGAGAAATGATGCTGACAGAATTTATAAGGAGAGATGCCCCAGAGGTAGGTTCTAAGCCTGGCCATAACTGTCAATATTTTTATTGGACTTTTTTCACGTTTTGTTTTAAATTTCTTCTAAAATTATACAAAAGTTCAACTGGCTATATAGTTACAACAGATGACATATATCTTGGTCCAAAAGTATTAGAAGACAATTTTAGCATCATTCTAATTTATTTACTTTGTGGTACTGGGGATTGAATCCAGGACTTTACACAGGCTAGGTAAGTGCTATACTACTGATTTATATCCTTGGTCCTTTAAAAATTTTTTATTTTGTGGCAGTGTCTTGCTAAGTTCAAACTTGTGACCCTCCTGTCTCAGCCCCCCTAGTAACTAAGGTGACAGGTGCATGCCACTGTGCCTAGCTAGCAGCACCATTCTATTAATCTGGTTCTGAGTACATTCTAGAAATGGAGAACAGGGTTGCAATATCCCAGATGTAGACCTATGATATTTCTAAGATAATATTTCTTTTAAAATTTCTACCTTGTACTTGGATCAAATAAAATCATGCCAAATGCAGGACTAAAAGTAGAAAGAACTGTCTTTGTTTTAATTTTTTTTTTTAGTTGTAGATAAAGACAGACAACATACCTTTGTTTTATTTGTTTATGTGGAGCTAAGGATTGAACCTGGGGCCTCACACGTGCTAGGTAAGTGCTCTGCCACTCAGCTACAGCCCCAGCCCAAATAGAAAGAACTTTTAATTCAAACTTGCATATTTTTAGTGGAAATACCAAAATGTATCATGGGAATATTGTGTAAGGATAATCCCGACTGTAAGCAAAGCTGAGGGAATATATTCCAAAGACTGTACTAGACCAAAAATGTTCATCTTTTTACCTGAGAGTGTTTAGGTCTTGTGACACAAAAGGTTGATTGATGACTCCCATGAGAGGCACTCCTGTGTGAATGTCATAGACACCAATTAAAATAGTGACACACTGAAGTCCAGAAGGGAATATTCCTTGGTTGGATTGAATGTCAGCAGAACCTTTAATATACTGATAAGTTGAATCTGGAAAATTAAGTAAGTGTGTTAAGGTTCACATAAAGATTATTTAGAAGATAATGCTGAATACATCTATAAATTTTGCTCTATATAATTTCTCTTTTCTTCTAATTGGCTGTAGCAGGTTTTAACTTTTGGATGTCACCTGTATCAAATTGTTACTTGGCCTCCTACATTTCATTCTTAAGCTGCTTATGTTTCATTCTCCTGGCTAGTGAGAATGAAGGAGAGCACCTGTCTATAATTCCTGCAGCATCTAGTATAGCACTTTGCAAATATTTGTCACCGGTGGAAAGCATTTAAAAGTTAACAACTCAGAATAATGGTGAGGTTATTTTAGAATTGTTATGAATCAGAGGACTAGTACAATGAGAGATGGAAAAGTCTTCTTCCAGCAATATGCCAGAGACAGAATTATCTATTATTGTTAATATTATTTGGTTCCTCAAGTTCCAAGGAGGAAAGACAATGATGGTGGCATAAAAAGGAAGAAATTAATGATGTTCCTGTGAAAAAGAAGTGGAAGAGCTGTTTCCTCTTCGGAAATATGAGAGCTGCCTGCCAGCATCTGGGGGGTTAGCACCCAGCTAAGGGTGAGACTGGCAGAAGATGCAGAGAGCTAGAGAATAGAATCAAGAACCAAGAAGTAACCAGGTGTGATGGTGCATGCCTGTAACCCCAGGGACTCGGGAGGCTGAGGCAGAAGGATCGCAAATTCATAGCCAGCCTCAGTAACTCAGCAAGCCCCTAAGCAACTTAGTGAGACCCCGTCTCAAAATAAAAAAATAAAATAAAATAAAAAAAGGGCTGGGGATGTGGCTCAGTTAGGTGCCCCTGGGTTGAATTCCTGGTACCAAAACCATAACAAAACCAAGAAACAGGAGATCCTTGTCCTTCAGAAATCAAAATTGATGTAGTTTATCCTTAAGTAATCAAAGATTTTGGGAAAGACTTCATTTCCACATACAATCCATTGACTGAATGTTATGTAATTCTCTGATTAAACCACTATCTCTCTCTCTCATTTCTCTCTTTCCTCTCTCTTCTCCCTCTCTCCCTCCCCCCCCCTTTCCTTGATGAGGTCACACAGTGTAGTCCAGGCTGGTCTAGAACTCCTTGGATCAAGTCATCCTCTTGCTTCAGTCTCCCCGATGGTTAGGACTAAGGCATGCACCACCAAGCCCAGACAATTAAATCCATTTTTATAACACTGGAAAGGGTGGAGGAGTTTGTCTGCTTAGCAAAATGTATTGGGTGGAATATCACAGGGAGGTGGGGAAAAAATGGGATGGGGGGCACAATACCTGGGGCTTGGTATTAGTGGCATCACTGAAGAGAAAGACCACATTTTTAAAACAATGAGCTATAGATCATCTTCCTACCACAATAAACTGACGGTTCATGAGACTCATTGACTGTTATGTTTGATCAATACTGTTTTTGATTGTTGATTTGTTTAACTAAATTAGTAATCAATGGTTAAGAATTGGAAACTTTTATTTAAGACCCTGGATTTTGCTTATTCTGCTCCCACTGAAAAATCTGAAGATCTGGCCTGTACTCACATACGGCCACAATCGGTTGGAGCTAAGCACTCTTTAAGTAGCATGTGTTCTCAATTGTTACAACTGCTATCACTTCATGTTCTCACTTATTTACCAGTCTGGCCCTTCTGTGGGCCTGTGTAGTACATACACACACCTGTTATAGACTTGTGTATAAAGGTACATATGTACATAGCTATATGTATATATACACATATCTATAACGTAACACATCATAATATACCTCAACTCTTCACTTAGCATTTTGAAACTTAAAAATTTTAAATCTTCTAGGAGAATTAAACTATACTTTCAATAATTTTTATTTTCCAAGCCAAAAGAAAAAAAGAAAGAAAGAAAGAAAGAAAGAAAGAGGATTATGCACAAGAACAAATACACAGGTAACAGAGCAAACGTACTCTCCTATACTTACCTATGGGATCCACCCAAATTCCCATAAGGTCCTGTGGAATGTTGATCACTATGGAATCCAGAGCTGCATCAGCAAAGGTGACATCCTGATGAACAACCTTGGCTAGTGCTTCAGATGCTGATTTGTTACCATTAAGGACTTTGCTAAGAAGCTGGGCTGTTTCTTCCTCTGTCGAACACAGCTTTATGATAATCTTTTCCCCTAGAAAGGACAAACTAAAACCATTATATCTTGAGAGTTTTGGTGGAGAAAGAACAGAGAGGTAGGGGGAAGAGAGAGAAGGAGGGAGGAGGCTGCAAAAGCTGTGCAACTGTATTAGGTAAGGTCAACATATCCATGCCCGTGGTTCCTAAGTCTGATGACCACCAGAATCATGTAGGGAGCTTCACAAAGTCATGATGCCCAGTGGCCTCATGTCCTTAATCTCAGGGTAGGATACAGGAATTGAAAGACTGGCTCCCCAGGAAAACATCCACATGGACACAATTTTGTGTCAATTTTAAGAGGGTTCACAGACCAGTTAAAAATCCTTTAATCCTTGATAATTAATCTTTTTTTGTCTTTTTTAAATTTAATTTTTTTACAAAGGCAATTTAATAGTACAAGAAGAGACCCCAATGGAGAAAACAAGAAACTCAAAACCCTATCTGATTTAAGGACCAGCAGATTCTGTTATTACCCAGGAGCTTGTCAGAAATTCAGAACCTCTCTGGGTGTGGAGGCTGAGACAGAAGGAGTACAAATTCAATGCTAGCCTCAGCAATTGAGCAAGATCCTGTCTCAAAATAAAAAAATAAAAAGGGCTGGGAGTGTAGCTCAGTGGTAGAGCACCCTTGGGTTCAATACTGAATACCATAAAAAAAAAAAAGAAAGAAAGAAAGAAAAAAAAAATAGAACCTGAGGCCTTCCACCAGACCAGCCCTACTGGATTTGAACAAGATACTCATTTGATGATATAATCAGTAAAGTTGGGGAAACACAGTATGAATGTATTTACAATGATGACTTTTTTTTTTATTTTTGGTGGTGGTGGTGATTGAACACAAGGACTCACACATGCTAGGTAAGCACTCTACCCCCACCTATACCCCCAGCCCATAATGATGACTTTGCATCAGCAAGAAACACTTAAATTTAAATTCCAATTCAATTAAACTATTAAAGTTGAGGAATAATAGTGCTAATAAGTGCCGCACACTGAACACTACCTTTGGGCTTACTAAAAGTTACAGGATCATTCAAATGAGTAAATTATACCATATCACTCCTTTGCTTAAAACAGGCTAGTGAATCCCCATCACACTTGGAGGGCAACCTGAATTCCTGCCAAGATTGCCTCCTGTCTGAAATCACACTATGCACCACAGTCTCTCCTCTTCCCTGCTCTACATTTCTTTGCCCTTTTAACAAACAGGAAAGTAGATGTGGAATGGTTTTGTGTTCCTATAATTCTGGATAAATCATGTATCGAAATAACTTTGTAAAGTAGTCAAATGTAGGATTTTTAATGAGGAATTCTTATGAGTTAATCATGGGAGTTATTTTTAACCTTCAGCTAGTTCTCTCTTCCTACTGAATGTCTATTATGGTTTAGATAGGCGGGGTCCCCTGAAAGCTCATGTGTGAGATAATGCAAGGATTTTCAGAGGTAAAAGGAACAGATTGTGAGAGATATAACCTATGTCACTGGATTAATCCACTGATAAAAATACACTGGGTGGTAATGGTGGGCAGATAGGGTGTGGCTGGAGGAAGTAGGTCACTGGGGGCCTTCTGCCATGATGTTTTGCCTCACCTGGGTCCCAGAGCTGTGGAGTCAGCTGTCTAGGGAGCAAGGCTTCTGAAACCATAAGCCAAAATAAACTTCCTACTCTGCCTTGTTCTTGCCATGTCTTTTGATCACAGCGACAAAAAACGCTGACTAAAACAGTATTATAGAACCAAGGACATTTTAATATATTGCTCATGTAGGAGACTTAAAAAGATTATCAGACACTAATCCAGAAACTCATGTTCTTCCTTTATAAATGTGTTTCTCAATATTTGACTATCTGTCCCATGATCAATGTTTAAGATTCACTATTTTAGTCTTTTAATATTAAACAAAAATCCCAAACAAACTAAAACTGAAAAATTTCTCTGAAAATAATCAGAGATTATGATATTTTCCCCTAAACTGCCATAGAACGTGGAAGTCACTGAAGGGGAATCTGCCCATAGGAAACTATGTAAATAAGACTAAAATCTTGGCATTGGCCTGCTCTGATATTTCCAGCAATTCTGGAGTCTGAAGCAGAAGGCTCACTTAAACCCAGGGGTTCCAGACCAGTCTGGACAACATATCAAGACAGGACTCTGAGATTCTGTCTCAAGCAAAATAAAAACAAACAAACAAACAAAAAAACAGGGTGGAACTATGTTACTTCGAATACCTTTACAGAGGTTCTGAGACCTTGGGAAATGATGGCTCAAGATCACCCAGGATTTCAGGGTCAAGGGCTCCCAGGGAGCCCTTGGGACTTAAACCTGAAATTGGACTTGAACCTGAAATTGGACTTAAACCTGAAATTTTCTGTACATACCTATAGCTGTGCATCTGGGGGCATCATTTTTTTTTTTTTTTTTTTTTTTTGGACACCAGGGATTAAACTCAGGAGAACTCAACTATTGAGCCACATCTCCCACCCTATTTTGTATTTTATTTAGAGACAGGGTCTCACTGAGTTGTTTAGCGCCTCGCCTTGCTGAGGCTGGCTGGCTTTGAATCTGAGATCCTCCTGTGTAAGCTTCCTGAGCTATTATAGGCATACATTACCATGCCCGGCTCTAGGGGCATTGATAACCTCCACTAAGTTCCCAATGGACCATAGAATTTTCCCCAAAGGTAATTTTATTAATTATTTAAATGCTACAGATTTATATTTAAAATGATGCATGGACATGCTAAATTATTCTAAGAGATCACATCTCTCTCTTAATTTAAATAGCATGATATTATGAGGTAGAGACTGAATGAAGCTTTACATTCAAATATATAATACTGTTGACATTGAAAGGTTTCCAAACATTCACTTATTTCATGGTTTAAGTTGGAGATCAGAATACCATATGATAACTAAGTTACAAAAGTACATTAAGATTCTCATACTTACCCAAATCATTAGTAAATTCATTGGATTCTTCTCCAAAAATATTTTTTTCCAAGCCTGGAAACTGAATGATTCAGAATATGATAAAAAGCAAAACAACAACTAAAACCTACACACATGTTCAATTCCCAATAGATTTCCATCTTACATTTCAAGTTAAACACAATTACATCTGAATTTCAGAAATTTCCAAATGTACAACCAAATCAAGTATAAAAAAATGACACCAGTTTTGTCAGGTGCTTAGTTCTCTAATATTTTCCTGTCCCTTTAACTCTCTAAATCCAAATAGTGGTTGAAGTCTGGTTTTCTTATGTCTTGTTACCCTACTGTAGAAAGGCCCTAGAGCTAGGATGCTTGCAAAGGAGATACTGTAACTATCATCTTAAACAGCACTCTAGTACCTTATAAAAGTTAATATTATTGATCAAGTGCCTGAAATTATTGAGACTAGATAGAAGAGATAGGAGGGTAATGTTAGATTTTGTTTTTCATTTTCAAGTATGTTTCTGCTCCTGTTAGAAATACCGTTTGTTTTCAGGATAGGAAGATATAGGAAGGAAGGGGGGGGTAGAACTTTATTGACTGATAATTTGTGCATCAATATAAAGTGAATAAATGGAGTCAAGTAAGAATCTTCTCTCATCTCTGTATGCTTAGGAAACTTTCAAATATATTTTTCTTCTGACCCTCAGTAGTGAGAATAACTTTTCTCAAAATATTTGCTGAAGCATGCCTATAATCCTCAGGAGGATGAGGCAGGAGGATGGCAAGTTCAAAGTTAGCCTCAGCAACTTAGTGAGACCCAAAGCAACTTAGCAAGACCTTGTCTCACAAAAAAAAAAAAAAGAACTCTGATGTGGTTCACTGGTAGTGAGCCCTAGGCTCAATCCCCAGTATAAAAAAATTAAAATTAAAAAATTAAAATTAAAAAATAAAAATTGCCTTGTGATATGCATGATGTTCTTAGGGAACAAAAGTAAGGAAATGCTTTAAATACTTAAGCCCAGTCATCTGCAGATGGCCAAAAGCTTTAATAATGCCCAGAACCACTTGGAGGTTTATTTTTTGGTTTATTTTGATTTTGCTTTTTGTTGTTGTTGTTTTATTTTTTTTCTGTTTTGCAAGATGGTACAAGCCAATGAAGGATGGCAACCATTCTATACTTCAAGGATGGAAGCACAGTCTCCAAGCCTGCTTAAACATCTGTTTCTGAGGGACCTAGGCATAAGGGTCATGAAATAAAAATATTTCATATAATTGAAAAGGAAAACTATTTGTTCATAAGTTCTGACATTTACTTCATGAATGAATGACTATCTGAATTTGTTATAATGCTCTGTGGCAAATATTAGTCCATAAACTAATCAATGTTGATACATATCTAATCCAGTTGCTCAACCATCATTTGTACTCAATTATCTTGAGCAGTAATAAACAAAAATAAGTTTGCTTCATTTATTTTATCTAAGCCAGATATAACAGATATTACATGGTATAAGAAAATCAAAGTTGGCAGAAATTTCTTGGGGTCATTGATTCTTATCACCTGCCTGTGGTTAAGATTTCACTTAAATGATGCCCCATATTTTAAGCATTTCTTAGAAAATATTCCAATAATTTAAAATGTTTTATGTCACAAAGTTCTATCCTCCCAAGCTAAACAGAATTATTAGATTATCATTTAAAAGGCAATATTACTATTGAACGTAGACATTGGAAGTTGGGTGCAGTGGCACACACCTGTAATCACAGTGGCTCCAGAGGCTGTGGCAGGAGGATCATGAGTTCAAAGTGAGCCTCACCTACTTAGCGAGGCCCCTAGTAAAATATTAAAAAGGGTGGGGATGTGGCTCAGTGGTTAAGTGTGTGTCCCTGAGTTCAATCTATGTTACCAAAAAAAAAAAAAAAAAAAAAGATGTAGACTCTGGAGCCAGTTTGCCTATGTTCAAAAACTTGACTTGCCATTCATTTTCTGTGTAACCTTAGGCAAGTTACTTAAGCTCTCTGTGGTCCCTTTTTTCATTCACTACATTGGGATAATTGCTCGTAAGTCATAAGATTGTTACAAGGGCTAAATAAGTTACACTTTTCAAAGCCCTTAAAACAATGCCTGTCACACACTTAGCATTTATAAGTGTCTGTTTTCATCATTAGTATTATCTCTACTACTATTATTACTATTACTGCTACCACTACTACTATTACCACTTCTACTTATGAATACTGTTTTGTGATTCAGCTCAAGATACCCAGAATCATAATCACTGTTAGTTATGACAACGTTTTCCTAGTAGTAGAACAAAGGGAGACTTCATTCAGCTACAAACCCCATAAGCAAGGCAAATATTAGATACATGAGTAAGTCCAAAAGATGAGACTTACTATACCAAGTTTAAAAAATAAACCAAAACACAGGCTACAAAACAATGTGCTTTCATTTCTGATGAGATGAATGATAGGAGTCACGCGCACACATACACAAAGAAAGGAAACATTCCAATAATATTTAGCAAAACATAGTTGTATTTTTTCCTAGTTGCGGGGTTAAGAGAGCTCAATTTTATTTGTGTTTCAGAGAACATATATTATTCACTAAGAAGAAACTCATTAATAAAAGAAAGGTTTTGTGATTATTATTTTCTTTTCTGTACTTTAAAGATTTTCTGCAGTGAACATTTTTTTTTTTCAGCATTACAATCCTATCAAGGGACAGGGGAACCCAAGATATTTATTGAATCCAAGATGCTAATATTCTGAAAAGGAATAAAAGTCATGCTATTCTATGGTAGTGGGGGGAGCCACAGAGGCAAGTATTTTACAATTACCTTGGCCATGATCTTTCTTACCTTGTTCTCCATATTCTGTTTTATAACTTCCTGCACCAGTACATCAGCCAGGGTCTTGAAATCAACTGTGAACTTCTTGTTCTTTTCTCCCTCCTTCTTTTCTTCAATGAGCAGCTGGAAGAGAGCTTCCTGCTGCCTGCATGCCCGGGCGATGTTGGCAGCTTTCTCTGAGACACGGAGCAGTTCCTGGAGGATCTCTGACATTTCTGAACTTTGGTTTTCAGTGGCAGCTTCTGGTGGAATCGGCTCCCACTCTCTGGGCTGTCAGCTGTAAAGTGCAAGAATGTGAAAGAGAAAGCAGTTCAGAGAGTGATGTCAGGGTGCCTCACACTACCAGCCACTTGGCAGGCAGTCAACCTGGTCAGCATTGCTGAACAGCTAGTATATAACATAATCACAGCCTCAGAGTGGAAGGCTGTACCTATAAGCTGAAATTTAAAACTTACTGTTTAAAATCTTGAAAAAAAATGATTGCATTCTCAAAAATACATTATACAAAGAACTGAATTATCAGTCTGAGAAAAATCCTTGAATGAGAATCTATCTTATCTTTACAGAGTCCCACACAGACAGGTAGACAGAGCACAGTGTTAAAGGAAAGCCAGATTCTTGCAATGACCCTAGTCTGATCACAGAGACTCAGCAGTAGGACTAAAACAGTGTTCTTTTTCTCACCCTGAAGGAAGAAGAGAGAAGTGGGACAGACTTATGCTCTCAGTTCCAGGGCAACTTTCTCAAGTATTAAGTAGCAAGGCAGCAAGCATTGTTGTGTCCTGCAAGACTCTAAGGCCACTGCTAAGCTAGCAGCACAAGCCATCTCCTAGCCAGCTTATCCCTGCCCCATTAAAAAAAGAAAGAAAAAAAAATCCTATTATCTATAGACTCCTCCTACCAACTGAAAGTCTAAACAGCAAAACATTGAGACTTGCAACTTGTTGGAACTTGAAAAGTCCTGGCTTCTAAAGTTTCAGGCTACCACACCTTGATCTATCTCTTGGGCCTATCTTGCAATTAGAGAAAAATTTTAACCCCTTAATAGTAGCTACCTCATATTAAAAGCTTGAATAAGTCCCAGTTTCTTGTTGTGGGAATGACTATGAGGATTTCCTTCCCTGTTCTACGGTTTGAGAAACGGAAGCTTTGGGAGGTGAAGTCACTTCTTCAGGGTTACAAAAGACTAACTGTACAGGGCTCAGCAGTGGTCATACCGACACTTGAGCTCTTTATCATCATAGGAGACAGTTTCCTTCATAGAAAGAAGTTTCCTGAATGGACTCCCAGAGACTGAAAATTAGAACAAATATAAAGATACTAATGCAACAGGGTTAACTGTGAATTGTCACAGTTAGTTCATCTTAAGTTTGCAAACAAAATATGTTCTCCTCGTTGTATGATTATGGGTTAACCAGCATGAGAAAATGTGTCCAACCTAGACAGTAATAAAAGGACAGTGGATAAAACAATGAGACATCTTTTTTTCTGGTTTTATATGTTTTAAAGTTAACATTCACCCTTGGAGGAGGCACTGATGCACGCATGCTCACAAACAAGCAGGTGTCCAGAGGGCAATCGACAGAAGGGTATCAAGGTCCCTACAGAAGACAGCACATTTTTAGTCTGTAACTCCAATCTTTCCTTAATTTGGGTTAAGGAAAAGAGTTGAGTTAAAGTATTTCTGCACACAGTGAGTTAATATTATTTACAGTAAGAAAAAGTTGAAAATAATCTCAAACATTGGTAAAATATCAGATAAAATACTATGAGGTCAGAAAAATCATGTTTATGAGGAATATTGAATAATATGGAAATGTGCTAATGCTACAGTGTCAAATGGAAAATCACCTATGATCATATGTAGAGTCACAGTATATTATCAATATTTGTTTACACTGAAAGAGTGAGAAAGAAGAGAGAATAGTAGGTGGTGGTTGAATGATAGTTTTTGCCGAGTAGTGAATTGCTTATGACTTTTTTTCATTAGGCTTTTCTATTATTTTCAAATATTCTATAGTAAACACATAATGCTTTTATAATAAACAATGACATTTAGAGTATCTTAAGGTAACTGTCCAAATAAAACACAACAACACTTTGTGGTAGCAACACAAAAAGCTCCTGGAGGTAGAGAGGTGTACTTAAAACTGAAAAACATCTTCCTACTTTAAATGGTTTTTCTTTCAGGAATGAATGATATGTTGGAAGATTCACTTCAACTGACTTGAACCTACACATTAAGAAAAAGAGTTTCATTAGTAAGCTAAGGCACTTTTGAGAAATAATTTTATGGCATATATGACATGTATATGGCACAAATTAAAATGATGTATAATAAACACATGGAAATATGCATACATATTCCCAGTATATCATAAGCCCTGAGAGATAAATTATAATTTCTTAATAAATATTTTGCAGTTATATAAGTTAAGGAACAAGAACCAAAGAATCAACAGTATCCAATTAACTTTTCATCTTAAAAGGATGAAGATGTTAAGGAGTCAAATTTGCAAGCTTTCAAGATAAACAATATCAGAACTGATATATAATCAGCTATTATACTCAACTTTGTTAAAACCAATTAATATTTTTCTGAAAAGATGCACTGTACCAACTACGCTGTTAGATAGCCTCTGACACATTTCCTGCCCCCAGGAATTGAGTTCTTCCTCTTTGGACCCGACCTTTATTTCCTCAGTGACTGTTGTTCCCACCTGAGCAGTTGCTGCTTAGCAAGCCCGGCCACTTGACCAATGGGGGAGAACTATCAGCCACGGACTGTAGTCCTGTAATGAATAGATTACATATTTTATAAATTCTTAGCATAATAATCATGTTTTTCAAGTCCAAAGATATCCCAAAGTTCAACCTTAACCACTGTTTATTCCGAACTGAGGGATCACTATATTTTGTCAAGCTCCAAGAGGAACTACCCAGTTTTAGGTTGACACTACACTTTCTCCAGTCATCTGAACCAACCTAGCCCTTCTTCAGATATTTTTCCTTCTCCAGTTCCCCAGATCTCTTTAAAAAAAATTATATATAAATCCTACAGCCCCAACACAAGACTTTCCAGGTAACCAATACAGTGATGCATGCTTGTAGTCCCCACTCTCCCTACTTGGGAGCCTGAAGCATGAGGATCACTTGAGCACAGGCATTTGAGACCAGATAGATGACATAACAAGACCCTGTCCCAAAACATTAAAAAAAAAAAAAAAAGACTTCCTAATTAATTTGCATAGCTGACCTACTACTTTCTGATTAAACAAACCATTTCTTCCATTCAAATCATCATACTATACTTCTCTGTAAGCTGTTTCCTCATAGCTCTCTCCATCTATTCTCAATTCAGTTCATGCAAGCAAGAAGGGAGCCCTGGAGGGAAAAGAAAAGAAAAAAAAAGGAAGAAGGGAACATTGAACAATTCATCCTGACCTTGAATACTTGAGAAAAACAATATTCAATTAACTTTTTATCTTAAAAGGATGAAGATGTTAAGGATTTCTCTACAGAGAAATTGAGGGCTACATCCAATACAGGATTTCTCCAGCTTTACATGGAAATTATCTTTGAGATAATTTTAAAAAGAAAGGTTTTCACTTTACACACGTATTTTGGCTGTCATTTCAAGAGTGGCAGGTATCCTGGTGGAAACCTAAAGTTCTATTATTAGTTGTAGGTATAATAGATGCTTGTGGTTCTATTAGTAGCTATTCACGTGCATGGATAGGCCAAAGTTGAAACATTTACTAGGTGCTTAATATATGTCAGGCATCTTCTAAGCACTTCAAATATATTAGCACACTTAATTCTCACACAACCCTATGAAATATGTATTATCTCCACTTTACAGATTAAGAAACTGAGGTATAAGGAGGTTAAGGAATTTGCCCCCAAATCACACAGCTAGGAAGTAGCAGGACAGGATTCAAGCCCTGCAAGCTGACAAAGCCTATGCTGTTAAGCATTACTCTAGCCAATGAAATTGTTCTCCACAAATTGTCAATTGTTAAAGAAATTAATGATTATTATGTAATAATCCTAAGCACATTATTATGATGTACATTATACAGCAAAAAATGCACATAGCTAATGTCCTTCACCAGTCAGAGCATTATAGCTCACTAATTGACACTTTACTTCCCTTTTACTCTCAGAAAAACCCTTTCTTCAGCTGATCCTCAGACTCACTGTAAAGTACCCTACTGAGTAATAAAAGTTCATCCATCAGTTCCACTGATGTCTCCCTTAACCATCTTCATATAAGTAGTGGTAGGGGCCTAAGAGGAATTTAAGGAACAGATTTATTTTCTCATAGTTCTGGAGACTACAAGTCCAAGATCAAGATGTTAACATGATTAGTTCCTGAAGTTTTCCTTGGCTTGCAGACAGTTCCTTCTCATTATGGCCTCTCCCAGTCTTTCTTCTCTGGGCACAAATCTCTGGTCACTCCCTCTTATAAGGATCCCAGTCAGATTAGATTAGGGCCCATCCATCTGATCTCATGTAGCCTTTAAACGTTCTTTCTCCAAATATACTTATTTCCTGGTAGCCTTGGTGGACTAGGTCTGGGATCCCTTTAGGTACTAAAATATGTGCATGTTAAAGTCCCTTAAATAAAAATGGCATAATATTTATTTGCATATAACCTATGCACGTCCTCCTGTATGCTTTCAGGGCTTCAATGTAAGAATGTCAGAGGAACACAAAGTCAGCTTGCAATACCTCTCCTGATAGAGAGGCCTCATTGATTTTAGCCAATGCCAACACAATCTATGTCTTTCTCTTTTGTGTTCTGGTCAAATAATAAAAATTAGAGTTTTATTCCCCACTTAAGTGGTCAACAGTTTAATTCTGTGAGGTAAACTTTCTTCCCAGAGTTCTTCACTTTAACAGCAAAATACCACACGATGCAGTGAGCATTGAAACGAATTCTCTCATAAGCCATGATTTGTAACATCCTATTTTCAGTCACATTTCAGCAAAATAGGCTTAAAGAAATTTCATTCTTCACCATCTCACACTCAATGCATATCTATATGTTAATATTAAATTGTGTCATAATGTCAGGGTTGGTCTCTAGTTTTTGTGTTCTTGTCACAAAAGTAGTTGGAGAAATATTGAAAAAATTAAAGCATTTCAGAAAAAAATCAAAATATCTCTACAAAGATAAAATTCAACTTTAATTTGTAGCCATTCTATCATCTCATTGGAACAGCAGAGGTTTAAAAGTCACATCTGGGGCTGGACACTTTGGTGTACACCTCT